TAGTAGTAGTAGTAGTAGTAGTAGTAGTAGTAGTAGTAGTAGTAGTAGTAGTAGTAGTAGTAGTAGTTATAGTAGTAGTAGCAGTAGTAGTAGTATTAGTAGTAGTAGTAGTAGTAGTAGTAGTATTAGTAGTAGTAGTTATAGTATAGTAGTAGTAGTAGTAGTTAAAGTAGTAGTCATAGTAGTAGTAGTAGCAGTAGTAGTTGTTGTTGTTGTCGTAGTAGTAGAAGTAGTTATTGTAGTAGTAGTAGTAGTAGTAGTAGTAGTAGTAGTAGTAGTAGTAGTATTAGTAGTAGTAGTTATAGTATAGTAGTAGTAGTAGTAGTTAAAGTAGTAGTCATAGTAGTAGTAGTAGCAGTAGTAGTTGTTGTTGTTGTCGTAGTAGTAGAAGTAGTTATTGTAGTAGTAGTAGTAGTAGTAGTAGTAGTAGTAGTAGTAGTAGTAGTAGTAGTAGTAGTAGTAGTAGTAGTAGTAGTAGTAGTAGTAGAATTTGTTGTTGTTGTTGTTGTTGTTGTTGTTGTTGTCTTCACCTCCTCTTATACTGAAGTAGTGGCATCGCCGCAACTGTTACTAATAGTAGTTGCAGGAGCTGTACAAATAGTATTACAGTAATAGTAGTAGCATCAACAATAGTGGTACTGTACTGTACTGTACTGTACTGTAGTACTGTTGGTGGTAACGGCGGCTGCGGCGGTGCTGGTGGTGATGGTAGTGGTGGTGGTGGTGGTAGTATTTATGACATATACTGTATCAGGCTAGTGTTTCTGGTGGTTCGCAACAGTACGCTGTACTGGGACCTTTTTTTTATGCATCACTGTTTCGTCGCTACCTTAGTAACGCTTGTTGCGACTACCGGCACCATTGAAGTCACACCGTGATGTGTGCTGGGATTGTTTTTCCTAGGGAAATATTTGTATATTTGTTGAAGCTGGGGATGGGGATGAGAGGGGAGGGGGGGGGGGGGGGAGAGTTAGTTTCGTTTTTGACTTACTGAATACGACTGAGAGAAAATATTTTGTCTCCAATGTTTCCCTAGGGGACTAGCGTTGATAGATGGAAATTTAGATTACAAATTTGAAAGACAACCATGGAACTAAAAAGTTGGCAGCTTAGGGAGATTGAAATCAAATGAAAAACTGGATTGTTTAGGCTTGGTGTGTGAAGATGTGTATAGACGCAGTGTGTACTATTTGTTGTTTTGAGACACTCTCGTTGCTAGTTATGTAATGTATGTGTTGAGACATTGTGTATGATAAGTGTATAACTAATTTGTGCAGAATCTACGCTAGTTTTGTAAATAAAGTGTGGAAATACTGATGCTAGATATGTAATAAATGTATGGAGACTGTTTAGTGCTAGCTTTGTGAAGAGACTGTATGCTAGTTTTGTAATTAAAATGTGCAGAAACTATGCTAGTTATTTAATAGATGTGTGTAGACATTATCTAAATTTCTTTGCTGCTAACTTGAGCATCTCCTCTCGTAGTCTTTGATTTCAGTTTTCTGAATTATGTTGCTCTTTCCTGAGACAGTCACCCGGTGTCTGACTCGCTTGAAGATCTGGTTTACGGTACGCATAGAACGGAGACCAATATGATAAAGCTGATCCCGTTAGGCGTATGCAATATCGGGTCTTCGCTCATTCTAGGCCACCTCATGTCATGTGGGCTAGTCAGTTCCTTTCCCGTTGCCTTTCCGACCTAGTCAGTTCCTTTCCCGTTGCTTTTCCGACCCAGTCAGTTCCTTTTTACGTTGAATTTCTGACCCAGTTAGTTCATTTCACGTTGCTTTTCTGACCCAGTTAGTTCCTTTCCCGTTGCTTTTCTGACCCAGTTAGTTCCTTTCCCGTTGCCTTTCCGACCTAGTCAGTTCCTTTCCCGTTTCTGATGCTGTGTATGAGTCAAAGTCGAATCCAGGGTCTACTCGGCGTTTCTCAACCTGTGGGTCACGACCCTTTTGTTGATCTAACGTCCCTTTCACAGGGTCGCCAAAAACCACTGGAAAACGTATATTCATTGGTTATGAAGTAGCACCGAAAAAAATTGTATGGTTGGGGGTCGCCACAACATGAGGAACTGTGTTGACGGATCACCACAATATGAGGAACTGTATCTAAGGGTCGCCACAACACGAGGAACTGTATTGAAAGGTCACCACAACACGAGGAGCTGTATTAAAGGGTCGCCACAACATGAGGAACTGTATTGAAGGGTCACCACAACATGAGGAACTGTATTGAAATGTCACCACAACATGAGGAACTGTATTGAAATGTCACCACAACATGAGGAACTGTATTGAAGGGTCACCACAACATGAGGGACTGTATTGAAGGGACACCACAACATGAGGAACTGTATTGATGGGTCGCCACAACATGAGGAACTGTGTTGACGGATCACCACAATATGAGGAACTCTATTGACGGGTCTCCTCAACATGAGGAACTGTATCTAAGGGTCGCCGCAACACGAGGAACTGTATTGAAAGGTCACCACAACACGAGGAGCTGTATTAAAGGGTCGCCACAACATGAGGAACTGTATTGAAGGGTCACCACAACATGAGGAACTGTATTGAAATGTCACCACAACATGAGGAACTGTATTGAAATGTCACCACAACATGAGGAACTGTATTGAAGGGTCACCACAACATGAGGGACTGTATTGAAGGGACACCACAACATGAGGAACTGTATTGATGGGTCGCCACAACATGAGGAACTGTATTGAAGGGTCACCACAACATGAGGGAACTGTATTGAAGGGTCACCACAACATGAGGGAACTGTATTAAAGAGTTACCACAATATGGGGAACTGTATTAAAGAGTTACCACAATATGGGGAACTGTATTAAAGGGTCACCACAACATGAGGAACTGTATTGAAATGTCACCACAACATGAGGAACTGTATTGAAATGTCACCACAACATGAGGAACTGTATTGAAGGGTCACCACAACATGAGGAACTGTATTGAAGGGTCACCACAACATGAGGAACTGTATTGAAGGGTCACCACAACATGAGGAACTGTATTGAAGGGTCACCACAACATGAGGAACCGTATTGAAGGGTCGCCACAACATGAGGAACTGTATTGAAGGGTTGCCACAACACGAGGAACTGTATTGAAGGGTCACCACAACATGAGGAACTGTATTGAAAGGTCACCACAACATGAGGAACTGTATTGAAGGGTCACCACAACACGAGGAACTGTATTGAAGGGACACCACAAAATGAGGAGCTGTATCGAAGGGTCGCCGTAACATGAGGAACTGTATTGAAGGGTCGCCGCAACATGAGGAACTGTATTGAAGGATCGCCGCAACATGAGGAACTGTATTGAAGGGTCACCACAACAGGAGGAACTGTATTGAAATGGCACCACAACATGAGGAACTGTATTGAAGGGTCACCACAACATGAGGAACTGTATTGAATGGACACCACAACATGAGGAACTGTATTGAAGGGTCACCACAACATGAGGAACTGTATTGAAGGGACACCACAACATGAGGAGCTGTATTGAAGGGTCACCGCAACATGAGGAACTGTATTGAAGGGTCACCGCAACATGAGGAACTGTATTGAAGGGACACCACAACACGAGGAACTGTATTGAAGGGACACCACAACACGAGGAACTGTATTGAAGGATCGCCGCAACATGAGGAACTGTATTGAAGGGACACCACAACATAAGGAACTGTATTGAAGGGACACCACAACATGAGGAACTGTATTGAAGGGTCACCACAACATGAGGAACTGTATTGAAGGGACACCACAACATGAGGAGCTGTATTGAAGGGTCACCGCAACATGAGGAACTGTATTGAAGGGTCACCGCAACATGAGGAACTGTATTGAAGGGACACCACAACACGAGGAACTGTATTGAAGGGACATTACAACATGAGGAACTGTATTGAAGGATCGCCGCAACATGAGGAACTGTATTGAAGGGACACCACAACATGAGGAACTGTATTGAAGGGACACCACAACACGAGGAACTGTATTGAAGGGTCACCACAACATGAGGAACTGTATTGAAGGGTCACCACAACATGAGGAACTGTATTGAAGGGTCACCACAACATGAGGAACTGTATTGAATGATCACCACAACATGAGGAACTGTATTGAAGGGTCGACGCACTAGGAAGGCTGGGAGCCACTGATCTAACTAGTCGGAAAAAAATCAGCAACTTCTCAGGATTGAACCGAAAACGATGTTTCTGGAGGAGAGCACCCTACCCTCTACACGCCGCGTAGGTAATCTCTTTAAAAAAAAAAACATATCCGTGCCAGAGGAACCATAATTTGACTGTTTACCGATAGTTTTACAATAGTAGACCAAACCTGATAACTGAACGTAATCCAAATACTGTAGAAACAAACCGCCCTACCATGTATCACAGTCATGCATAAATTAAGTCTATACAAGGGAGATCCACAGTGTCAGCCCTACAAACAATTGCCTTAGAAATAAATTAACTTAAAACACAAAAGACTGAAGCTTTTTGGAATGTCTAACGCGGAGAATTAAGCTTTCATTTTTGCAATTCAAAATAGGAAGTATCATATTTCCTAAATCAAATCTAATTCTATTTTGCATCTTCTTTTCCTTTGCAGAATCCATTGAGTTTACGGTGCATCCTTCAAGCCCTGACAGAACAAATAAACATCAGAGGCAGACTCTGTGGTTGTAAAGCGAAGCTCGTGAAAATTATACCAGATAAAAGCAGCGCGGAAACAGCATGGAAAGATCGGGGCCAATGAACGTGCAACTAAATACATCTCTACAGATTATGAGCGCTCTCTAAATTCGTGAGTTAATGGAGTTGCGTCCTAGAGACTGCAGGCATTGTCAACCAAGTCACGGAGCTAAGTGCTCACAAATGTCAATTTGTTGAAAAACCACAGTACGATCTTCCGTCTCAATTAACATTCCATCTCTCCTGACGGCCAGCTGACATCTAGCATGGCTTGGATGACGTCGTTGATTGTTGGCTTATGTCATCTGATCCTGGTGAATTCTGCAGATGTTCATTACTCTGTGACAGAACAAAGCAAATCAGGCCTGCTTGTGGGCAACATTCCAGATTCCATCGATCTCGTTAACCTGGTATCTCAAGCCAGTATTCCCTATATGAAGTATAGTTTCTTGAGTATAGACTCTAACTTGCGAAAATATTTCTCCCTGAACGAAAAATCTGGTGATCTCAGACTGTCATCATCAGAAGTGTTGGACCGGGAGGCCGTTTGTCAGTTTGACATCACCTGTAACCTTGAACTTCAAATAGCCATACAGTCCACCCACACTCAGTTCTTCCGGAAAGTGCTGGTTAGTATTGACGTCATAGACATCAACGATCATGTGCCAGAGTTCAAGGAAAACTTCACCACGCTAACCATCTCCGAATCTGTACAAATACCGTCCTCTTTTCCTCTACCATCCGCCATAGACAAGGACACTGGTATCAATAATTCTTTACAGGGCTATGAGATATTTCCCCAAGATGGTCCGTTTGAACTTTCTTACTCCAAGTCCAACTCCAATCTGATGCTCAGGGTAGTCAAAGAATTGGACCATGAAATGAGAGATCTATATACAGTGAAGATTATTGCACGAGATGGGGGCGACCCTGCCAGGGAGGGAGTGTTGAACGTTGACATCATTGTTGAAGATATTAACGATAATGCTCCAAAGTTTACACAAGATAAATACGCAAAAGTCGTAGACGAAACTGTGAATCCAGGTTCATTACTGCTCACCCTCAAAGCCGTCGACGCTGACTCGGGAAAGAACGGACAAGTCAGGTACAGGCTGAGCCCTCAGCAGCCGGCACACATACTGTCTATGTTTTCTGTGGACACAACTTTGGGTGAGCTACGTCTTGTAGGGGACTTCCAGTACGCTGAAACAGAATTATACAAGATTGACGTGGAGGCCAGCGACATGGGCGACCAGCCATTCACAACCAAAACAACTGTTTCCATCACTGTGGAAGATACTATTAACAGCAGACCCAAACTGTTAGTTAGTTATCTCTCTCAAAACAATTATTCATCAATTTCAGAGTACGCTAATCTTGGTGTGGCCGTGGCTCACATTCTAGTCAAAGATACAGACAGGGGTCCTAACGGCATCGTTCAATGCAATCTGACATCAGGAGGCTACTTTGAGCTTCAGAGCTACGATATCAAGGAGTACAAGGTGATAGTGGCGCGCTCACTAGACAGAGAGGTCATCCAGGTGCACAATGTGACTATTGAGTGCACGGATGCAGGCCTGCCTTCCCTCAGCACCACCGAAACGTTTCAGGTCAGAGTTATAGATGAGAACGACAATGCTCCAATATTCCCAAAACGCTTCTACAACATGACTATCAGAGAAAACAACGAAATCGGAAGAGAGATTCTAACGGTAGCTGCTATGGACGCTGACGATCGCGCCACAGGAAACGGAAAAATTACATACAGCCTCCAAGATGTCAGTAATGGACAGCTGCTAATCAATCCAGACACCGGGGTTATCAAAGCCATGACCTCATTTGATTACGAGCTTAAGCGACAAATTAACTTTACGGTTGTGGCTGACGACAACGGTATACCCCGAAGATCTGCCAAAGTTCCCGTCAGGGTCACCATCCTTGATGAAAACGACCAGGTTCCTTATTTCGCCCAAAGCCGATTCACAATTGCGGTCTCAGAATACGCAAGTCGCGGGGATTTAATAGGGGAAATCACAGCGTTTGATTTCGAGCAGGGCAGAAACGGGCAGTTTGAAATTACTAAGATTCCAGGTTCTGGCAGAGGCAAGATGACACACAAGAGCGGTGTTTATTACAGCGGATCCGTTGATAACTCCCCGGTCGATTTGGAGAAATTAGACGACGACAAAATCCCTTTTGAAGTCCATCATAACGGAAGCTTAATCCTTCTGGGTGAATTGGACCATGAAATTAGATGCTCATACGAGTTTGAGGTTAGAGTCACGGACAAAGGAGAACCACCGCTCAGTGACACGGCAACTGTAGTCATCGATGTGACTGATGAGAATGACAACACCCCCTACATCTTGCACCCCAATGTCTCTGAGGTCATGTTTGTAGCCCTAACGGGCGCCGATGCTCCTCAAACATTGTTTTCTTTTGAAGTTCTAGATAGAGACAGTGGCAGCAACAGTTTCCTGGTATATACAGTGACAGCCAGGAACGACAGTGGAAGGTTCGATGTCGATAGCCAGGGAGAAGTCAAAAGAACCCGCGATTTTAGCTGTAAGTATTGTTATAATGTCCATCTACTGGCATTGATGAATGAGTGAGATGAGTGGGCGATTAATTACAATGTGTAAAAGCAAAGTGTGACATTTATAAACATCGAACCAGATAGGATCAAGTAGTTGGAACTGATATAATTATCTGTATATGTGTATACGGGGAAAAACACACACACACATTCACACACACACATTCACACACACACATTCACACACACACATATATATATATATAGTCATATCTGTAGGATAGAGGTGAACAATTCTCTTTCTCGCAGCCTTTTCATCCCTGGCACCCATTAAATGTCCAGAATGCTAGACTGTCTCAGACAGCATACATGACTTAAAAAAAAAAAAAACTTTTTTCAGTTGACAATTGAGTAGGAACCGCTGGTGGGGTAATTCAGTGACCTGTGTCGACAGAGGCCCAACATTCTAAATTATAAAGGATTCCTAATGTACTCTTAACTGTGATTCTAGAGGCCCAAACCGATACACTGGAAACAAATCTTAAACAATTCAGCTGCATTTCAATGCTCTCGTTAACTGCCATCTGTCTCTTCTACTATTTCAATATGAATTGAAGTGCGTGGCATCTCCAAGTGGCAATGACATTCATCCATCTGACACCGCGTCCTCGTACTCATGGCTATGTCCTTTCACATCTCCGATCATCTGACACCGCGTCCTCGTACTCATGGCTATGTCCTTTCACATCTCCGATCATCTGACACCGCGTCCTCGTACACATGGCTATGTCCTTTCACATCTCCAATCATCTGACACCGCGTCCTCGTACTCATGGCTATGTCCTTTCACATCTCCAATCATCTGACACCGCGTCCTCGTACACATGGCTATGTCCTTTCACATCTCCTATCATCTGACACCGCGTCCTCGTACTCATGGCTATGTCCTTTCACATCTCCGATCATCTGACACCGCGTCCTCGTACTCATGGCTATGTCCTTTCACATATCCAATCATCTGACACCACGTCCTCGTACTCATGGCTATGTCCTTTCACATCTCCAATCATCTGACACCGCGTCCTCGTACTCATGGCTATGTCCTTTCACATATCCAATCATCTGACACCACGTCCTCGTACTCATGGCTATGTCCTTTCACATATCCAATCATCTGACACCACGTCCTCGTACTCATGGCTATGTCCTTTCACATCTCCGATCATCTGACTTACTCTTCATTGACTAATTGTCTTCACCAATTGTCTTTTGGGTGATGTTTATTTTTTCTATAAGAGCTGTCGTTAACTCAAGGTGGCTAAACAATTTGACCTTCCTTTTCTTACTATAAAAGCTTTCTTTTATATTGGTTGTCTTAATCATGTCTCTACCTTCCTTCGATATAAATTCAGAAAGTAACACATAGTCCATCCAACCAAATGGTAGTTGGCACATTATGTTTTCTTCTTCTTCTTCTTTTTCTTCTTCTTCTTCTTCTTCTTCTTCTTCTTCTTCTTCTTCTTCTTCTTCTTCTTCTTCTTCTTCTTCTTCTTCTTCTTCTTCTTCTTATTCTTCTTCTTCTTCTTCTTCTTCTTCTTCAGCATTCCGAGCCCTAGAGGTTCATTTCATCTCTCTGGTTGGTCTTCTCTTTCCACCTGTAAACACCAAGTGTTTACATGTATGAATTGACATTATCTCTGACATGATGTCAGTCTCCGTATTTACAAGTCAGCCAACCCTCCTTCAGAAATGTTGTCGACATCACACTAGAAGGCAGTGTGCGATGCTGATCCGTTTCTTATAGTCTGACGTTGGTAGGCATGTGTTAACGTAATGTTCTATCTTGAACACTTTCAATCAGTTCTGACACAGATGATCTTCCATTCCATGATGTCAAACTATTCAGCATCTGGTCTCTCGATGTCCCTCCGCCTCGGTTCCCCTCCAACTTTCCCACCGTCACGATGTACTCCAGTTTCTTTCTTTTCATGACATAACCTAAGAATGTGGATTGTCTCCTAATCATGTGGGCAATAAGTTCTCTTCGTGAGTCAGTTTCTTTCAAGACGTCTTTTTGACCTTTTTTTTTTTTCTGTCCAACTTCTTCGCATTGTTCGCCCGTAAAATCACACTCTCGGCGCTTCCAAATGACTGAATGGGCCAACTGTCCAAAGAGGTTTCCATGAAACATAAAATAAGTGATCTAACGCTCTCCCTGTTTATGGGAGAAAGCTTTTCGCCCGGGCTTCTAAAGGTGGGGGGGGGGGGGGGGGGAGGACTTCGAGATCCCTGTTTCGGAGATCCCTGGAGGGTCGGTCGCTGCTGTAGCTGCTAAGTTTAATGCGGACAAACATTATCTCTTTGCGAGCGCGCGCGCGCACACACAAACACACAGAAACAGAGGTAAGTAGTGAAACACTGACACCCGGTACCAAGAGGTTAATTCTCTGGCGTGTAAACATTGTGTATTGTCCAATGGAAGAAGTATAAAACTGTAACAACCGCAATCCTATAGGCCAGATCTGCACGCCGACACCAGGAAATAAGTGAAGGATAGGGAGAATGATGGGTGGGGATGGGGGGAGGGGGTAATTGAATGATACTCCTTAGAAATTGTTCACCAAGGTAGGGCTCAAGCGGATTAATCCTAGCTTAAAATGATGATGATGATGATGAAAATAACTCAATGAATGGAAATTAAACATAATTTTATGCATTATCCTGTTTTGCCAATATATGTATAATAGGGCTCGCAGTCTTTCCCCTCATTCCGTTATATAATGATGATTCATTCAGTATCCTGGGTGGAATCTAATCCAGCAGCTTTGGCCTCTCTCATCAATGTTCATTTTAGGGTTTCTTTTAGGTGGCCTCACCTCCTTAACCCCGTTATTTCCCATTCCAATGCCTGTCTGGTGATTCTCTGCTGGCTTCTCTTCAGGATGTGTCCAGTATAACGCCATCTTCTATGTCTTAGCGGGAGTCGCCGTGGCGTAGGCGGCTAGACGCCCGCCTGCCTATCAAAAGGTCGTGGGGTCAGGTCCTGACGGAGAAGGATTTTTTTTTCAAAAATGACCTTGACTCCCAGGGCGATCCAGGCCTGAGTGCAGTCTTAGGAAGTAAAGGCGGCCGGTGTGATGCTATACACAACACCCACAAAGTGCCGATTGGTCTATAAAAATATATGTCTAGCCCTTTATTCATAAAACACCTAACAAGTAAAAAGTAAAGGACCCTTTCCCACACCTTAGGCGTATAGGGCAAGACCTATATTTTATAGACCAACGGCACAAGATGGGTGATGTGGTCAGTATCACGCCGGCTGCCCCTACTTTCCGGGACTGCACCTGGTAACCACTCGAGGCTGGGTCGAAATGGTAGTCCATGTCATTTAAAAAAAAAAAAAAAAGTCCAGTTCCGTCAGGGAGCGAACCCACTACCTTCCGATTCGCGGCTCGCATCTAGCCGCTCTGCCACGTTGACTCCCAATACACCTAAAGGCTTGAAAAAAAGGGACTTTTACTTTCTCTCTTATAAAAGGGGATACTAGTGGTTTCCCAGACATTTTTCTATTTGAATGGTCATTTTGAATTCATCTCATTCTATTCTCACAATTTCTTCGGGTATTATATAAACATAAAAACATGTTTGAGATAAAATGAAATGTATAGTTTAGTTAGGGGGTGTTCCTAGTTTAAAAAAAAAAACACCCCACCATTTATTTGGGATCTGCCCGGGTAGCAGTACGCATTTATATGTGCAAATCCTTATTAACGGTCTCGTCCCTAGGGATTGTGCGCACGCAATCAGTTATCTTACCTCTCAATTCATCCAGGTTGATGAGTATTGAAAATCTAAAGTAATCTAATTTTTTTTTTTTTTAAACAAAGAGGGCACACACATTAGACTGCGCAATCTAATTTCTATTTTCCGTGCACAGATCGGGACGCTGGGACCTACAAGCTATCCGTCATGGTCAGAGACTCGGGCACGCCGCCCCTGTCAGACGTCCGCACCGTTCTGATTCACATTTCTGGAGGAAACGGCACCGCCGGCAGGTCTGGCCTGATGAAAGACCAATACATCGTCATCGCCCTGACCTTGGTGTGCGTCACCATCCTTCTGAGTGTCACCATCATCCTCATCATTGTCATCATGCGGCGACTGGACAAGCGGCGCAAACACAGCGCGGGTTTGACCCCACGGCCTCCCATGCACATTCCAAACTCTCGCGTGATCACCACTTTTATGGACCCCGTGAAGATGGATAACTTTAGACACGACAGTGCCAACAGAGAGTACAGAGATGACCACCTAGGCAGTATGGGCAATCATAAGATGAATGATTCGCATTTTGGGTTCACTTCCTCCAGCGGAAGTATCAACAAGAACGGACTCGCTGACAACGGATATCAGGTATCGATTACTTTTGTCAACTCACCAGTTTCTCTTCCTGTTTTATGTCTGTGTTTGTCATTTGGTTATTGCTGTGTCTCTTTAACAATTTCATTTGTGTGTCTGTCCCGCTGTCTGTCGTGTCTATCTGTCCTGCTGTCTGTCTGTCCATCTGTCCCACTGTCTGTCTATCTGCCCCGCTGTCTGTCTGTCTGTTGCTCCGTTTGTCTGTCTGTCTGATGTATGTGCGTGCGTGTGTCTGTGTATGTGTGTATGTATGTTTCCTTAATTTATCTGTTATTAAGGGATATACAGTTTTAACAACTCCCCCTCCATCACCCCCCCCCCCCTCGCCCCCCCCCCCTCCCAAAAAAATTTAATTTTTTTTCTAAAACAAGGTAATGGTTTTGTGCCTTCCTTTCTCACTAGGCAAAGTCCTATCCTGCAGTAGTAGTAACACATGTGCTCCTTCAAGTGTGTATAGGTGTGTTTTATGTGCATATGTGAGAATGAGTTTATGTTTATCAGTGACATTAGCAGATCAGTAGGAAGGAGGGCGCTCTGACACAGCAGCTAGCGTTCATGATTGTCTTTGATGCCATCTTAGTCTTAACCGGTTTTTTTTTGGGAGGGGGGGGGGGGGGGGGGGGTGGGGGGGGGGGGGGGTGTTTCGGCCAACCCTGCCTAAATGGGTATCATGAATTTAATCAAACGATGTCGGCATAATGTTTACTTTACTGCACGCAATAGATCACGATGGGCTGACGAGAATGGTACATCCAGCGATGCAGCGGTGACTGGAGGATCTCGTCTAGAGAGAATTGTACATCCAGCGATGCAGCGGTGACTGGAGGATCTGGTCTAGAGAGAATTGTACATCCAGCGATGCAGCGGTGACTGGAGGATCTGGTCTAGAGAGAATTGTACATCCAGCGATGCAGCGGTGACTGGAGGATCTGGTCTGAAGAGAATAGTACATCTAGCGACGCAGTGGTGACTGGAAGATCTTGTCTAGAGAGAATTGTACATCCAGCGATGCAGCGGTGACTGGAGGATCTTGTCTAGAGAGAATTGTACATCCAGCGATGCAGCGGTGACTGGAGGATCTTGTCTAGAGATAATTGTACATCCAGCGATGCAGTGGTGACTGGAGGAGCTTCTCTAGAGAGAATTGTACATCCAGCGATGCAGCGGTGACTGGAGGATCTTGTCTAGAGAGAATTGTACATCCAGCGATGCAGCGGTGACTGGAGGATCTTGTCGACAACTCTCTACACTCGGAGGAAAGGCAAGGCCCACGTATAATCAGACTGCTAATGGCACTACGGAGTTGTAACTCTTCGCTGGCTGCTGACGATATGGACGAAACACTTATGGAAATGTCAGTTCTTAGCTTACATTCAGCACTCACATTTTACTAGCAAAATAAATCTAAAATATTATATTCATTCGTTCGCTTTATTTACAGCACGATCAATAATTTGTCGCGTGAATTGAGGATAAGAAACCCCAGCCTAAAGATAAGAAAAGCTTGTTAACCAGATTACATAAAATTGCACGCCAGCCACAGATAATCAAACGTTACTGCTCCCCTCTGCCTATCCTTTAGTTTAATTCACTAACAGAAAATCTATGCCAGAGTGAGCCACACGACTTGAACCAAATCGAACAACACGTAGTCTACCGCCAAGATGTGATTACGCGTCTGATAGAAGCGTCCCCTAGAGACCCAGCAGATCCATCCATCACTTTTTATTTCGTATATTTCCAGACGCAGACTTTCTGTGGGAAAGGTTTTTTTGTGTGTGTGTGTGTGTGTGTGTTTGGGTAATTGTTACATCCCTCATCTGATAATCAAATGTATGCTGATATTGTCTGTGTCTGTTGCAATCAAGGAGTTATGTTAGAACAGGGGGAAAACTCTTGGGTGCTGTCACCAACGTCTGCGGATCTAAACAGCGGTGTGTCGGATGTTTATAATCGACTTATGCTCTTTCTCCTCATGTTCATCATTGTCACATCATCATCATGATCTTTTCCTCTTGTTCTTGTTCTTCTTTTATCCCTTCTTCTTCTTCTTCTTCTTCTTCTTCTTCTTCTTCTTCTTCTTCTTCTTCTTCTTCTTCTTCTTCTTCTTCTTCTTCTTCTTCTTCTTCTTCTTCTTCTTCTTTTTTTTTCTCCTTCTTCTTATTCTTCTTCTAATTCTTCTTCTTCTTCTTCTTCTTCTTCTTCTTCTTCTTCTTCTTCTTCTTCTTCTTCTTCTTCTTCTTCTTCTTCTTCTTCTTCTTCTTCTTCTTCTTCTTCTTCTCCTTCTTTTCTTCTGTTACTACTTTGTCTTCTTTTTAGTCATTTCTTCCTTCATCTTTTACTCATCATCTTCTTCTTCTTCTTCTTCTTCTTCTTCTTCTTCTTCTTCTTCTTCTTCTTCTTCTTCTTCTTCTTCTTCTTCTTCTTCTTCTTCTTCTTCTTCTTCTTCTTCTTCTTCTTCTGCTTCTTCTTCTTCCTCCTCCTCTTCTTCTTCTTCTGTTGCTATTCTGTCTTCTTTTTGGTAATTTCTTCCTTTATCTTTTACTCCTCCTCCTTCTCTTCTTCTTCTTCTTCTTCTTCTTCTTCTTCTTCTTCTTCTTCTTCTTCTTCTTCTTCTTCTTCTTCTTCTTCTTCTTCTTCTTCTTCCCCTTTTTCTTTTTTTCTGTTGCTACTCCAACTTCTTTTTAGTCATTTCTTCCTACATCTTTTACTCCTCCTCCTCCTTCTCCTCTTCTTCTTGTTCTTCTTCTTTTTCGTCTTCTTCTTCTTCTTCTTCTTCTTCTTCTTCTTCTTCTTCTTCTTCTTCTTCTTCTTCTTCTTCTTCTTCTTCTTCTTCTTCTTCTTCTTCTTCTTCTTCTTCTTCTTCTTCTTCTTCTTCCTCTTTTTCTTGTTCTTCTTGTTCTTGTTCTTGTTCTTCTTCTTCTTCTTCTTCCTCTTCTTCTTCTTCTTCTTCTTCTTCTTCTTCTTCTTCTTCTTCTTCTTCTTCTTCTTCTTCTTCTTCTTCTTCTTCTTCTTCTTTCTTCTTCTTCTTCTTCTTCTTCTTCTTCTTCTTCTTCTTCTTCTTCTTCTTCTTCTTCTTCTTCTTCTTCTTCTTCTTCTTCTTCTTCTTCTTCTTCTTCTTCTTCTTTTTCTTTTTCTTTTTGTAGTCCTATTCTGCTGCAGTGAATTAATATAATTCTTTCCGTCTCCTTTTAATCTTCAGCTTTACATTATAGAGAGCTAACTGACAAAGCCTGGGATAAGTCGTGTAGAGCGTTGTTGGTTGTCTCTCCTATATCGCACACTAACACCATGATAGCACTGTTTCTTGCTTTGAATCCAAATACCAGTGCTGTCTGCACTGTGTTGCTTGTACATAGTCCTCTTACGGAACCAAGAGTCGGAAAACCAGTCGTGCCCTACAGATCCCTGCTAACATTGTTCCAACTTGTTTCTTTGATTTCTTTTTCTATATAGGCAATTACCTGTGAGGCGTGCAATGCTTTTACTCACATTTTCACACATAAACATACGCATATACACACATACACACACATACAAACACATGCACACACATATTCAAACCGGTTTTAATACAGTTAACAAAAAACGCCTTTCATTATTGTCAAGCAAATGCACTGATTACTTTGCTAGACAGAACCGATGTATTAGCCATAATGGATTTCTGGAAGTCGCGCAGTAAACACATGAAAAGATTGCTTCATATAACAGAAACCGTAGGAGCACCTAGTATACATAATCAAAATGAGGTTTCTAGTTCATCTTGCTGGAAACTGTCTATTCACAGACCGTTATCTGCACTTCTATTAAGCTGGATGACTTTCTCTGTTTATCTAGGTCCAGAGATTGTGCATCAGCTAATTGATTCTTTAACCGTCTTTAAGCCGTGCAAATTAAAGCAAGGTCCATTAGAAGATTTGACTCTAATCCTTTTCAGAGAAGTCAGGGAGCCACAGACAGGGATCGACAGGAAACTAACATTTGTTGCCTTTAGACATTTGAGCTATTTCGAAAATAAAGACATCTGGAGAATTGTGAAATATTATGCAGTGTAAACATACACAAATCCTCCTGCTCGCGGAGAGAGTGCATTGTTTTATTCCATCTTTGTGTTATCCAAAGTTATTGGAGATTTAGCTCGAGCTGCTATTTCATGATATTATTTCATAGAGAACATCATGAGGATCGACTTCGTTGCATAGGGTTTTAACACGTATCATTCGGTCTCTTCCTATAGAACTGTTAGGCGTGTACCGAAAATATCACACAAAGCACCAGCTTCTTAGCTCATGTAAAATATGAGTCCCTTGATGCACTTTACAAAACGAACACGCCACCATGAGATTGCGAGAAAACAAATTGATCACTTTGCAACAAAAGACTGATTGCGAGGCAAACAACTTGACCACTTCGCAACATAAGACTCCATTCATTTAATATTTTGAAGAGCTAGCGATGAACATGGACATATAGAGGGAGATCTACAAAAGAATGGATTGAAAGAGTCGCTGACAACATGAGACTTTATACCACAGGATATCCAGCACCAAACGGGTCACAGCTCCATTGGGTGATTACTGCAGTTGTACAAGGCTGAAGTGATCTCTCTCCCGTGGGTCGAGGTAACAACTAAAATTCAACATTTTGAATAAATCGAACCTGGAGAGAATAATGCAGTGTGTAGTGTCTGCGGGTTCTGGGCTCCGCTCGAGACTCGAGGGAATGGAAAGACGAGTAGGTGGCCCGATGAGACCCGGTAACATCAGTATGGAGACTTTTCGCTGGCTGTTGAGGAAAGAAATGGAGCTAGTATACGATTGTCCTGAATGCTGTGGTATCTAGTCATTTCCCAGATAAACTCAAAAGACCACGTCATGATTCATTATCATCATAAACAACTTCTGCCGTTAAGCGGCGTGCGGAAGAATAATTTGCGATCCAGTGATCGCTGGCTTCCACTGGCTATTCTCGTGCCGTGAAGGCGTAGAGTGTCT